TTTTTTTTTGCAAAATATCTGAACATTTACAAAAATTAAAAATTAAATATCTCTCAATGTAAGGTGATAATTTTTTATACCTCTATTTGTAGTTTTAGCTTTTATTTTCAATATTTTTAAGAAACTACAAAATGAAATTATTCTGTTCATTTGTCATTAAGCTAATATTAGTAATAATGTTTTTAATAAATGGGCCAAGATTTGCATGAAAATAATGAAGAAAATATAAAATAAACACATACCACGAATGTTGAATGGCATATCTGTTTCAGGAGGACTAAAGGTGGGGTCAAACACAGGATGTCTGCCCTAAACGCCAACAAAACACAAACCAATTGTTAACGGTGAAAACTGTGACCTTTTCTTTAACACAATATGATGTTTCAAGTTATTAAACCATATGAAATTTGAATTTCAAAAATGAGTAAAATATCCACAAATCTCAGTAAGAAATTTTCATAAACTAAGAATACAAAAAATATTGCCAAGAGTCTACTGAAAACCCTGAAATAACCCATAATTAATACGAAAAACAAATCAGCCGAAGAAAAAAGTACTCACAGAGCCTGAGTTAGGAGGAAACAGGGCATGCCTTGGGGGTCTGTTTCTCTGTGGTGGTTCCCTACGGGGGAGCGTGGGGGGCCGTGTTGCTCTTCTCCGAGTATGATTGTGTTCTTCTTCATCATATAGTTTCTGCGCCAATTCTGCATCCTCGTGTTCCTGCGAAAGTTTTAGCTGTTCCTCCAGCAGAAATGCCATTCTTTCATCGTCGTGCACACTGTATGTATCAACCTGGTATTCACTTTGGGCAGTGGCTTGGCCGTAACCGACCTCATCTGTGATGCCATCGGGACTCAAATAATCCATAACTGAGTGATCGTAGTCTGTAATGTCAGATGACTCTGAGACAGGGTCTGGTGAAAGTTGGTCAAGGTGGAGAGATCCAGAGTCCAAATCATCCACCTCTAAATCATTTTGTTGCAAATGCCATGCTAACTGTGCATCTGGGTCAGTGCTGTCCCCTCGTTGGAACTCTTCTAGCTGTAGTTTTCTTGCAATTTCTGCATCTGTAGCCATTCTTACTAGTATTTGGATATTTCATTTGTCTAGATAAACAAACATATACAAACTATACACCTCATAGCGTTCGAAACAGAAACCTTAAAAGCTTCCAACATGGTCAAGTGGATATAAATCTATGCTCGGAAATCTGTAATCCTGAAAAAAGGAAGTGCAACATACATAAAAAATTAAGAAAGAAAGTATGTTTGCAGTATTGTATTTTATACTAAGCTACACTCATAGTTATGATATTGATATTTACCGCAGTATAATTATACACTAACAACCACTTCTACGAGCTTAAGTAAGAATTAAATATTCAAGATGTTATACAGTACAACTAGTGAAGTAGAACTGTGATGGACATCTACTGATGACCAGATAACACAAATGTCTAGAGCTTCCATCTAGAATACAGAGATCAAAGGTTTGAATCATGTGGACTGGCCATTGCATTTTCTCTATTTGGTTTCACTAGTATACAGTTCTGTAGATTCACAATGTGTAACACATTATATTACAAACATTGGAGTATAATCCAAGTTTACTTCCGGTCTGGTTACTGCCAGCCTCATTTCGTGATAAAACGTTGTGGTTGTGAAATAATGAACAGTATAAATTAAATTACACAGTGACATAGGCACCTATGGAGTGAAGAAAAAAATAGAACATAATGGTACCCGGAATGTTTGAATAAGACGTCAAAATCATGTGAAAATATAGCAATATAGCTAGTAGTTTTCCTTGTGTTTCATTAACAACAAAATAAGCCCCCAAACGTTTTTGAAATTATTTTTTTCGTCAATGGCAATAATCTATGACAAACACTGTTGGAGACTGATGGTAAACATTCCAACTCACCGGTGAAACTTATACAAGACTCTTCTTCAGTTTACGAATAACGTTCAAAATTCAGTCGTGAAGAAAATGAAACAGATACGGCGTAGTTAAGCAGTTTATAACTACCCATTCCATTTGCTTGACACCGTAGCTACTTACATTACAAATGATTTTCTTCCGGTTTACAATCAGTGTCATAAGAGGGGAGGTCACTCTGGTACAAATCGAAAACGAAAGTAGAATATAGTAACCAAAGTATGCGTCTTCAGATTTTCGGAATAATTCCTTGCGTTTAAAATATATTTTAAGAATATCATAAATAAATTTAAGTTCATAAAGCCTTATATCGGAAAGTTTTTATAAGGATATAAATAGATATACACTTGCTTTTGTGATAAAACGTATATTAATTACGACTAGAATTACTGTTCTAATTCCGTGGTTATATTTTGTGGGACAATAATCATAGGTG